TGCGTGAGGGAGTTCCCGCCGCGGGGTTTTGTTTTCCCTCAGCAGCTCCCCATCAGCCCGGCCTTCCCTCAGAAATACTTGGTGACTCGTATGGATGCTGCGTGTAAGTCGCCGAGCAAAATAACTTTGTTTAGGGAATCCGTTGTGACTTTTAGACTCTTCTGCTGCAGCTCAAGCGACCCCATACGTGAAATTCTCTGGTTTGTTTTTTTTTTTTTTCTTTTTTTGCTAATGTGGTGGATGTAAAGTTAGTATGTGTGGTATGTCCAGAACTCGTTAGTGGCGAGGAAGTGGTGTCCTGCCAGGAGGTACTGTCAGCCCTCCCTTTGAAGAGCTGTCACCAGCAGAAACCCTGCCAACTCCAGAGAAACTTGCTGAACTAACTTCAGTTTTTCTCGATGCACGCTTTTTCTTCCTGTTGAGGATGGGATAATATGGCAAGTAGAAGTTTATATACGAGCTTTAGATAAGCCCTGTATCCCAAACCTTAACTATTTTTAGCAGTATTGCAATGTATTTCTATAAAGCTGCAGATATTTTGCAAGGTGTTTGATTACTACAAACAATTTTACACTATCTTTTCTTGTAATAAAGTGCCTTATGATGCACCATATAGCTCTGCATGGTAGAAGTTTAACAGAATTGTTTACTGATAGGATGGATTATTTTGAACTATAAGTAAAAGCTTCCATCAGTTAGAAAAGAATCTGTGAAATGCAGTCTCCCATCTCTTGGGAGCTTTTTCAGCATTTGATCCTATTTTATACCTTTGCCTTAAGCAGTTACTAGCTATTAGTCTAGAGATTACTGTTAACAGAACCTTTTGTTCTGAAAGATGGCTAATCTGTAATAAGTAGCTGTACTGAAACTCCTGTACCTTTACCAGAACAATGTGAAAAAAGTAATGCTGCAATGCAATGGGAGGCTCTGGGAGAACATGGTTGTACTGTGTTTTATTAGTCAGCCTTATTTTTACTGGTAGAAGGAGCTTTTAAAAGACAAACTGTAATTTTCTTATCAAAACAATAAAGATGTTACAAAAAATTCTGAAATAATTAATGTTCTTGTGTTACTTATAGAAACAAAGATGACATTGAATACACCCGTAGTCAACTTAAGTGATAAACAGAAGGAATGGTAAGGACAGACATGCTTGCATATCTCATCAAAAGTAGTTACAGTCATTGAGAAGGCTTGGCCCCTCACAAGTTCTATTAGAGTTCTAAGTGCCCCAGTTAAAAGCAATCCACGTGACAGGATTTCACTTAGCTGTTTTTAATCCTGCAACCCAAAATGTTGCTAAGCAACTTGGAAAAGAAGTCATTTTGTTCAGAAAAATCAGCAGGTAATCTTTTTATTTCAATAAAACATACAGTAGTGGCAAAACAAAATGATTAACAATCTTCAGTTTCAAGGTAATCCAAAGTTCTGTAAACAGTTGAAGTGTGAGTCACACTTTTTAAAATTCTACTTCTTACGCTGTTAAGAAGTTAAGTGCAAACATTGGAAGTATCTTTTAACTTCATTATAAAAAGCTTCAAATCGTCAGTGCAAAAGAAGCATTTCTTTTAACTTTGTGGGCTTCCAGGCCACTGTGAGCACGGTTCTGAAAGAACTAGGGAAACTGTAGTAATTTGTAATGGAAAAGATTCTCCATGGAAAAGTATATGCAAAGGAACTGCCTCTAGAGGATTGTTTCCTATGGGATAATTTTTTTCTTTTTTCTTTTTTTTTTTTTTTTGCCTTTGTAACACTGGGAAGTAAAATAATGCCCTCAAAAGTGCCGAACGGCTGTGCTCCTTAAAGTTTTTTAACCATAATGCAGCCAATCAGATTCCTAAGGTGATTAAAATGTAGATGTCATTACACCTATGAAGACTGATAGTCTCCTGTTTGGCCATGTCCCATTATTCCGTGTACAGAGACAGACATCTCAAGGCTGAAATTTGTGGAAGTCTACAAGCTGCAGGGTACTACTTCTGGTAGCCTGTTGAGAAACAGTGAGGAAAAGAACAACATCAAGGTGTTGGGGTACTCAGTCTGGTCTTTCCAGGGAGGATGCTCTTCTGAAGGGGGAAGCTTCTACCAGCTATAGCTGGGGTCACTCAGTTGAGATTTTTTTTTCTTTTCTTTCCCTCCCCTCCCCCCCCTACATTTCTGCTTCTGCTTGAATTAGAATGATCACTACCATTTCAGGATTGTCTTTACATGAGTGAAATAGTTGGTAAATTTTTAAAAGGAATTAAGTTTTAACTTGTTTGGCTTTGACAAATATAATAAACTTGTCTAATTATGAAAAGTAAATATTTTTCTTAAGGCTATTGCTCTGTAAAGCTAAGAGCTGATGCAACCTTAATAGAGCCAGTTAGAAATTTTGAAGAGAAAAAGAAATTTCTTAATGAAGAAACCAATCAACTCTTAAAAAAAATCAGCTATTGAAATGGGGAATTTAAAAAAAGAAGTTTAATGAAAATAACCTTTTTTTCCCCCCACGACAGATGATTTTGAAACATTCTGCTTTCAGGGTGTGATGTTTACATTTTTTTTTTTTTTTAATTTTTTCCCCCCACATTCCTGGCTTCTGGGAGGAAAAAACCAAACAACTGACTTCTCATTCTCATCTAGGATGAGTTGCCAAAATGTCAGGTACTGTTGTGAGATGGTAGTTACTGTTGTGTCAGCTCTATCTGCAAACAGACACGCTGCTGTCTCTTTTTTCTGCTTTGGTCCACGTGAGCCCAGGTGTCATTCCTTCTTCCTTTTTCCTCATTGCTGTAAAGCAGTAGGCCCACAGATGTGAAGCTAACAGTGCAGATGTCGCTGTGAAGATTCAAAACGTATTTACGTGTATGAATTTAGTCTTGTTGACTGTGTAGTCACTGAAGCATCGGAGGAGTCTGTACAAAGCACAGGCTTCCTTAGCTTTGGCGTGACTTCGTGCATTGGCCACATCTCTACCCAAATGAATGATGGGCCGTATGTTTTCTGACTGCCTTTACCTCTTCTGGATCTTCTTTGTCTGTAATTATACCAAACCTGATGAATCATTTCTTTGAAAGGTCGTGTAGTCAAAGTGTAGAGAAGAGGGTTCAAAGCACTGTTTATTGGCAGTATAAAAATCACCACCCATGAAGTTATGGTACCTTAGGGAGGGAAGAAAGAAAGGAAGCTGTAACATCCGTTCCAGCGTTTGTACCTATTAATGAATACAAGCACTTGCTGCCTATGCAGCACAGCTTCCCGGCGAGACGGGTGGCCATGCACTCCTAGGCTGAGTTCATGTCACAACAGGTACTTTTCTTTTTCTTCTCACTGTTAGGCTTGCACTACTTACTCACCTCCCCTGTTTCCAGGACTCCGCACAAAATTGGACGTTTTTTACTCCCCCCAGTAGTTCTGTTTTTCCCTCTTACTTTTCAGTACCATAGATCTCTGTTTGCCCTGGCACACTTGTTCTGGCTGAGCCCCATTTTCTTACCCCAAAACCTTTTGTCTCTGCTTTGCTCCCTGTCTCTTCCTGTGATCTCTCTTCCCCTTCCTTTTCTTATGACTAATAACATGCTATCCTAATGATGTCCCCAATGTCCTGTCCTCCTGCAAAGCAATATCCTCCAGTCCCTGTATCCCCTCAGAGGCTGGTTTCCTCCTCTGCACCAGGACTTCTCCATTCTCCCCCAGCAAAGGACATTGTATATGTCATCCTTATTTCCTTCTTGCCCTGTTGATAAGGGTTTCTGTGTTCACACCGTCCTCCTTTCTGAAGGTTTCCTGCTCTCCTGCCTGTATCAGAGCATTTTTCCAGCACCCCCTTCTCATCCTTACAGTTTGGGAGATAAGTCAGCTTGTTACCTGAGGGGCAGGCAGAGAAGGGACAGGAGTAAAGTGCTGAAAGATGTTAATGAGTGCCCTCTGTTGCATTGTTTGATTTATAAAACAATTACAGAACAGTTCAGAGCTGCACAAAAAGCTTAATTCACTCTCCCTTTCCACCCCCCATCTCTGGCTTTACGACTTTATATTCCTGTTGATTCCCATCACATTGGCTACAGTTTTAGAAACAAGCAGATGCTTAGTTCAAAAGCTGTCACAGGGTATCCCCAAAGAAAAAGAAATGCTTTCAAACTGTGTTTAAAACTTCTGTAAACTCAGGCAACTATCTGTGATGTCTTTTGAGTAATTACTGTTTAATCTGGTTTATATAATGCAGAACATTCATTTGTTGAACCCAAGATCAGCCTCTGGTTCAGCAAGATTTCTTCAAGGTTTCTTGACTCAGAATACAAGTTGAAACTCAGAATATACAGTTGAAACGGCCTCACAAAAGAAAGGACATACCTGGTATTTCTACTTGAAGTAAAGAAAGGAGCTTCAAAATAAATATGGGTATCCAACATAGTGCATCAGTAAACACAATGAAGAAAAAACGTTTCGCAAGGATCATCTCTTTTTTAATATGATTCCGAATTTCAGTAGCTGTAATAGCTGTTTGGTGAACACTGTAGAACATACTCCCGTAGGAAAACACAATGATGATAAAAGCTGCCAAGTTTACACCTATTTAAGAAGTTAAAATTAGTTATAATTTAACAGCATAATGGCAATTTTACATCCCCTATTTGCAGGCTGGGCAGTAAAGAAACATGTTTCCTCTAAACTGCTAGTCCCATAGAATTAAGTGGTTAAGTGGCCAGAAGATCTGAGACTGTGTTCACCTGAACACTGAATTTTCACCTCTACTCAGATATTTATTTCATTCATTGTCACCTGATGCCGTCTGATCCAAACTGCATAGTTCTCCTCTGGTTTTGTAATTGCTCTACTTCCCTGGCAAAGTCTATTCATTCAGGAACTTAATGATCATGCATTTCTTTCTGCTTTCTAAGCCCTTCATGTATTTTAAGATACGTAAGTATCTAACACAGTAAAACAGTCAGGCTGGAAAAATGCTTTAAGTGCTTACTGGAGCATCTAAATACGAGGTGTGAACATCACAGCAAAGCTATCATATTGGTTTGAAAATTCAGTTCATTTGTAGCTCTAATAATACAAAAAGAAGAAATGCAACTTACCTAAAAAAATGACAACAGAATAAATCTGACTTCCTGCACTTTCTGATTGTTCTGAGTGAAGAGGAAAACAGACGCCGTTGGTGCCATAGTAGTTCCTGAAAAATTCCTTATTGCTCAGTGGGATAAAAGCAACAGCAAACCCAATCATCCAGATAAGAATCAAAATGGAAATTGTCCTGCATTTTCTGGGCTTCAAACACCTAAAAGGATAAACTATGCAGACGTATTTTTCCAAAGTCAGGTAAGTCAACAGTAAGACTGACACCTCTGTAGACAGAATAGCCAGCGATCCCACCAATTGACAATGAATACTGTCCATCCACAACTGAGCGTGCTTGTTGTATTCTCCACGATATTTAAGATCAAAAGCTCCAATCACAAATAAATATATTCCCATCAGACAGTCAGCACCTGTGGGCATAGTGCTTAACATCATTATTTACATGTTTACTATTTACAAACAGACATACACACATATATATGAGTACATATTTATAAGTCAGCTCATATATAAATATAAAAATCATTATTATAGTTGAAATGCTATTGTGAGCTACAATTAAGGCAGTATAATTCAGTTCTATTCCTTATTTTTATTTTTATTTTTTAATTTTCATTTGGACTGACAGTCTATATTTCATACTTGTTTCGAACCTGATTTTTTGAAGCTCAGATAAAATTGCTTCACAAGTAGAAAAGAATATCGCTTCATTTATAGAAATATTAATGCAACCCTTTTTCTGTTCAGTCTTATTCATATTGGCATTTGGCTTAAGAAAATTTGCTCTAATTAGGGCGTCTCTCCCAGATTCAAAATTTAGTTTTGGTTTGCCCACTTTGTGCTAGTTCAAAACTGATGTGCATAGTCTTCTAAGACTAGTAAGGGAAGAGGAGCTGTCAACATAGGCTTCTCGGGTATTTTGGCTAGAAGTTTTGCATTTTATTCAGATTGTTCCCATGGAAACATAGAGTTTTAAAAATCACTGACACGCTGTGCTTAGCAACGTTGCAATCATTTTATACACTGTTGACAATTACCTTCCAAAATGCAACTAATTGCATTTGTGAAATACTTGTAGACTCTCCTGTATTAAGACAGGGTATTTGAGATTATGGTGACTGCACTGCCAAATAGTTTGTCAATGAACCTGTTTTGCTTTTAGAACAAAAATAAAATTAAAAACCCCCTAATTCTTAATATTGGGGAGCTAGGAGTGTTTGACTTTCTATCTTTGCATAAGTAACCTTTTGCATGTGCAAAAAAATAGAATAACTATCTTGAACACAATGTTTACATGTGTAAATTGCTATTTACCCAAAAATGCATAGTGAAATTTAGGTTTATGGGCCTTTGAAAAATTTGGAATTTTATTTCTTCATGCAAAGAAAGTGTGAATTTGACACAACACCCGAGGAATTAAAATCAAATGTGAAATCTTTGCCTATTAGTACAGAATAAAAGCAGCATCTAAGAGACCTCCTGATGCATAAGGTACACAACATTTTGCTTCATCATTCATAACAGCATGAAAATCCAGTGCTTGAAATATGTCACTATATTATAACACCAAATATCATACACGCTATAAGCAAACTAAAACAATATTCTTTTATGCATGGAGTACTCACAGCAGAGAGACATTATTGAGATGGCGTGGAGCTTATTCTCTGATCTGATGTAAGGCCTCATGCAGATAACAAAAATATTTCCAAAGCAGGTGATGGCAGATACAACCCAGACAAACACTCTCTGTATGATGCTAGCTAAGAGGTTCTCAAGGGATGAAATCCCATCAGTGTTTGGTTTACAGCTGCGCACATGAGGGGCATATCCACAGTACTGGAATTTCTTAAAATATCTGGTTGTGAGAAAGAAAAACAGGTAAGAGATGGCTCTAGCTTGGTTACCAGAATATCGGAACTCTCTAGTAACTACTCAGAAAACATATTCTGAAAGAAGAATAATTAATGAAAAATTGGCAAAATTGACAACTCGCATGCTTCTTTTCATGCACTTTTAATTACTTAGGATTCTGGGAATGTAAAATTCAGACCAAAGAAAGCAAACTGGAATAATCTACTTACATATGAGAAAGGTTTCTCAGGGGTCTGAACATTCTTCTCTGGATGTTTGCAATTTCAATGCCTTCCAAGCTACTGTAAACAATATACCCTCAATAAAAGGTGACAGAAACTCAGTAGTAAAAGAACAAACTGTATGAGCATTTAATTGTGTTTCTATGATTATATGTAATTAGAGATGAACTTTAATTGCATCTAATCTGTCATCCTTTTGAAATTTCAACAGAAAGTCTGCATAAAAGCTAAAATGGAATAAAATGAATTACAATTAATTCTAATAAACTTGCTGCTCTTCCAGAATCACAAAGGCGGCTCTTTTAGCACTCTCACCAGTGCAATCTCTTGATTATTATGTTGCCCTTCCAAAGTATTGTTCCTGGTGCTGTTATTTCATCATCTCAGGGAAAGTAACTTTTTCCAATAGTAATATTTTACATGTCTCTTCTGTTTTTCATCCTAGTGAGTGCTTTACTAGACAAACAAACCACTGCAGGAATTCAGTCTTCATTGTGTCAAGAGCAGCAGGAAGCTGGGACACAGAACATGGCATGTAAGGGAAATGCTGGCTTTCTTGTGACACATGGATGGGATTTCTTATTTGAAACTTTTTTTTTTAATAGATTGAAAATGGCACTATTATTTCCCCTGCAGTGCTAAATCGGTAAAGTGTAACTGCAAGTTGTTCTTTTAGAACTTCAGTTTCTCCATTCTTCTAGTCCATCCCATCTACCAGTTAGATGTGCAATGAGTCTTCTAAATTGCAACCAGTCAGAGATCTTTGGTTCTTCTTGTGGGGAGCCTTATTTGAATTCACCATTCAATGCTTTGAGCACAATATTCTTGTGAGGTCTGAGCACATTTAGGCAAAAGCAAAGAAAGGCACCAGTCTTACTGGTTAGTTGCTTTGGACTGGTGAGCAGTTTTGGTTGGAGACAAGAATAAAGCTCCAAATACCGAGACTCATTAGTTTTATCTAAGCACTGCAATGAATCCTGAGGTGTGCTTTCCCCAGCTATTCTTACTATTTGAAATTAGGAAAGAGGCAGCTGGTGGTCTACAAACTTGAGTGCTGAAACATAGTTTCCTATAGAACTGTCTCAACTTAAAAATATGAAAGGTTGCCTTTCCTATAGATCTCTCTCAAGATATAACAACTGTCTCAACTTAAAAATATGAAAGGTTGCGGTCAGTCAATTGCATGAGTTCTTTGGTGTTAAATAATAGATAAAATGTATGTTGTAGCCTGACTGTTAGGGAGGTAATTAATTATTCTTCTCTGTGCTCAGCTGCTTATTTTCATGAAACTTGTACAGATTTGGTATTTTCAGGTTATTAGCCATTGACCAAATCTGGTTGAACTTGGCCACTGGATTCCAAATCGGTGTAAGGAAGCTGAACTGGTCACCGAAGGCATGTGCTAGCTGCAGCTCAGGGGTCAATTAATAGACTCCTACTACTCTCTGTCCAAGGAAGCATCGCTTTTCATATCTCCATAAGTATTTTGAGATGATGACCGACAAGAACCAATGCTGTGCTCTACCAAGCTGGTTATTGCAGACATGCAGAAGTCCATGAAGGTGTATTTAAATCTACCACAGGATACTTTCAGATTTGCAAGATTGTCTCTGCACTATTGTACTGCTGGTAGAATTCAAATTTGAGCTGCATCCACACCCTCCCCCCTCTCCCCAAACTCTCAAAAGACATTTCTAGAAGTCCCACCTCCCTCTGACATGGCAGCTGAATCATACTGGGTTTATGCTGTTCTTTTCATGGTGTTAGCAGTAGGTTCTGTAAGAATATGTCCCCAAACTTGTACGTATACCAAATTCCTTTATAATTCCTGCCTTTACATATGCCAAAGGTACCTGCCCATGGAGTTAAAAGCCCCAACTGGACCTTTCATAACCCTTAAACCCTGTGAACAAATTGTTCAAGGTCAAATGAGGGTTACATTAATCTTATTCTGTAACAGCAGAAAAAAAAATATCCTTCTCTAAACCGAATTTATGATCTCTTTTTGTTGGAAAAATTTCCATTATGAAACTAGTATTTTCAGGAAGGAAAATTTGAGTATTGCTAGCAAATATTTTCCAGGCTCAAATTGTTGAGGATCATCAACAGAACTCTAACCTACTTCAAGGGCATTTTCTTATAAAACGTACTCTGGATCATGTCCTTCTGAAGGATATGTTCATAATCACAATGAAAATATAGCTAAAATATAAAAACTTGATACTTACAGGGATTTGAGTTTAATTAGAAAGTCAAACTGGTCTATTTGTATTTTCTTGATTGGGTTGTAAGAAAGGTTCCTGTAAATACAACATAGACATAAGGAACTTTGTACGTCTTCCTTACAGCTTGTTCTAAAAATATGTCAAACTATGTAATCCATTTGCTTTTCCAGTCCTGTAGGAAGGACTTGGACAATTGGCAGTTACAACTGCAAATGGTAACATTCATTTAGTGTTACTCAGCTTGCTAAGCCAGTGGAAAGAGGAGGCAAGTGCTTCACAGGCATGCAAGGCCACGTGCACACAGCACTTCCTCCCCCAACCTTAAAGGTTTTGACTACAGAAATATTTATTTCTTTAACTCCCTAGGCTTGTCTTTCAAGTAAAAAAACCTAGCTGAACTGCATGCATTTAGAAATAAATTACATTTGAATTTGCTAGTTGCTAGCAAAATCTATTTTTCATAATTATTCCTGTGATTTCAAGAAGAGACAGAGGCAGTGGGATGTAAAAATAAACATTAGCATTAGATGCTATCACTGTGTGCAAGAGTGTTTCTAGGTACATCCCCTTTTTCTTCTCCCTATAACTTTTCCTTATGTTTTCATTGATATTGTATCTAAAATGTGCAAACTCAATAAATGCAACTGTACACACTCGGTTGCCCCAGTGTATTGTGATGAATCCCAAGGATACTAGAAAAGCACAAAAATAAGTTATTCCACATACTACCTCCTGTCCTCTGGGGAGGTCTTCAATTTTGTGACTCATGCCTCTTTCAGATTATGTGAGAAAGATTGGGACTTCCCAGCACCAGCATTTCAGAATTTGATTATATATGCATCATGGGAAAAATAAAGAATGCCTTTCTGGTTTTATAATACCTTATGCTTTTCTGGAACTCTTCCACAGGAAAAAAGCACTTGCAAACAAGGCATCTGTAGGATGCTCTTACATGTTTATGATCTATTTTTAGAGCCAAATCCTGATATCAAATTAAATATTCCCATCAAATTATTAATTTTTCATGATATAGCTAGCATAACTCATTTTGTATATCCTAACAAGATCTAGAAAAAGGTAGAATTTGAACTTGATATCTTTTGGGACATGAAAATACACATCTTTTACAAAACTATTCTGTACAAAATGTTATATAGAATTACCTCTGAACTAAGTATTTTTTAGGCAGAGTTTAAATGATGCGTATAAAAACGGTGCTCTTTTCTTTCCTGGTATTCATGACTGAAAGAATCACATCAAATGAGTAATATAAAGTTATATAATAATAATAATAATAA